CTCTATTAAAAAAAAATAATAAATATGTTATGTAGGGACATGTATCAGCGTGGTGGCTGGACGGGTCCCGTGTGCGCGATGGCCTCGGCTGCCGGCGCGATTCTGCTGTCGCTTCCCTTCCTCAAGGCCAAGTTCCTCCTCCGCACCCAGTCGGTACACCGCACCCCAGGCGTCCACTTCTTTTTCGCTCAACGTTTAGTGCGTGACGTGTGGGCCACATGTGCATGTCGCTCACCGTGCATCGCAATCAACTACAGAGGCGTCCGGACGGCTCGTTCAAGTACACCGGCCTCTTCCAATCGATCGGCGTCATCTGGCGAGAGCAACGGTGGGGCCTCATCACCAACAAGTACGCGCCACCGCCCATCATCGAGCTTTATTTTATTTAATCCCATTTATTCAAAAATTATTCTATTTGAATATGCTTTTTTAAACTTCTTTTCTTTTTGTACAGCCTGAGCGCGTTCATCTCGTTCGGTATCCTCTACGATGTGGTGGGATTCCTCACGGACCGCTACAAGCTGTCGACACTGATCATGAAGATCAAGACGCGCGAGGGTGTGCTCCACAACCTCAAGCACGCGCTGGCGCTCGCCATCGATGACATCATCGAGGCCGCCATCATCGTCGCCTTCACCATGCCGGTCAACGTTGTTCTACGCCGCCTCGAGGCCCAGGCTGGCGGCGTGGCGCCCTTCAGCGCCGACGGGGTCGTCTACGCCGGCGTCCTCGACTGTGTGCAGCAGATTTTTGTTCGAGAAGGCCTCAATGGCTTCTACAAGGTTCGCCACACGCCGCACACACGCACCGCACACATGACACAGAACTGATGCGATGCGGGATGTGGGATATGAGCAGGGAGCGATGCCAGAGCTGTTGGAGAGGTTGCTGCCCCGCGTGTTCGTGGACGCCGCGGTGGACTTGGGTCTCAATTCCTTCTTCGGTGTGCCGGCCACCTACGACAACACCGAGGAGCACAGCCACGCCGACTGAAGAAGAAGGCCCAACTGATCGTTTTTGAACTCCTACTGCGGTTTATTTATTCTGTACCCTTGGTCAACCACAAGTCTAGAAGACCAGAAGAACAAGAGAAAGCGTAGCGGGATTGAGGTAGTGAATGATGCTGTCAATGTCTAGAGGCTCCTCCTGCTGGCCAAGCTTCCCACAAGAGTGGCAGTTTCATCACAAAGTAGCCAGGCCCTGTAAGGAAGAGCCTCTTGGGCGCCAGTCTCTTCCAGCCCTGGTTTCAAGGGGCCCTGTTAGCTGTAGAGCTTGTAGCCAGTGCCATGCCTCTCGTCACACCAGCCCCCGTACAGCGAGAACTGGGACCAGGAGATGGAGGTCTTGCACAGCAGCTTCTCATCATTGGCATCAGCCACCACTGTTCGGGCAGCCTCGAGTCGCATCCCATCAGGCAGGAGCGGATTGTGGTGGCCCTGCTTGAGCGGCACCCACAGCTCCTCCACGTTCTGGCCCTCCACCAGCACCACCCTGATGCTCTCGTTTTCCAGGTCTGGTGGCCAATCCGCCTTCTGCTTGTCAGAATGCTCCAAGTACCCATGACCAGCAAGCCACGTCGTCGATGGGGGCAGGCGTTGGTAGGAGCTCGCCAACCTCTGGGTGCTCGTGGCAGGTCACCGCTCGGCCGGAAACGTGCAACTCGTCGAAGATGCTCTCTCACAGCTCAAGATCCCGCTGCCAACCCCGCCAGAGGCGCCATTTCGATCTCAGAGAGGAAATCAGCCGGCGTCACGGACCCCTCTGCCCCGACCTCTACAAGTGCGCCGTGGACCTCGAGGTGGCCGAGGAGCGCTATCGGTCTCTGCCCCACTCCCGCCTCGGTCCCGAAGACATGCCGCTCGGTACCTGCCTGCCGGATGGGCTGCTTGAGTTCCCCGCCCGCCTTAGCCATCTTCTCCGCCCCCTTGTGCGAGGAGTGGAGTTGGTTGATGTCAAACCTTCCCCAAGACCTGTCCCAATGTGCGAAGTGGGCTGATGCCCTGTGGAACCTGCTGCGCCGGGCAATCGACGAGGGATTGAACGTTTCAGGCCGGAAGAACTATGAACAGACAATATACATGAGCGTGGTCTTTAGGCTCAGGGAAGGGAAGAAGAGCCGCCGCTGTTGAGCAGCTCATCAGCGAATTGGTCATCGCCCACCTCCTTCCGGCGACACTTGCCAACCAACGGAGCCAGCCGCACGGCCAGCTGGTGCTTGCACTGCAGAAGAAGAAGTTGCATGTGATGAGTACCACTGCAAGAAAGGGTCGACCGCCCAAAGGGAAGAAGAGCCTACCATGAAGGGAGTCTCGCGCGGGTCGCCCTTGAGCACGGAGTAGGTGAAGGCCGGGCAGGAGCAGTAGTGGCCAAAGCAGATGTACTTGGTGCTCCACTTGCCCGACTTCTTGCCCTGGCCCGCCAGCTGCTCGACGAGGACAGCGCGTGTGCGCGTGTGAGGGTGCATCGTCGAGGCCGAGTGGGTGCAGCGCACGCCTAGAGGGGCGTACCTGATAGTAGCTGCGCCCAGAGGGTGTAGCAACGACCTGCACAACTCGGTTGCGATCGATGATGTCCAACGCGGCGAAGAGAACCGCATCAAACACAAAGTAGAGCCTGGAAGGTGTTGGATACATGAATAAATGAACAAGGAGGCAAGAGAGGGAGTATGTACGAAAGCAAGAGATCGTCGGTGACTGAGGATAAAGTGAGATGGGGATTGAAAATCAGCCCAAGCTCTAAAATCGCACTCGAAATGGAAGATCTTCCTCCGAGTACGTACATCGCCCAGCAGTCTTGACCTTCAGGAAGAGCTCTTCTGCCACCGCCTCAAGGCTGCCCGGATCCGCTGTCGATGCCATCTTTTTCGTCAATTTGATGTAAATCAAATTCACCAATTGTTTTCTTCATTTGATTTCCAGGAAAGCGTTTGATCTGGCTGCGTTCAGCAGTTGTTCTTCCGTCGGGCGGTGATTTGCTCGAAGAGAGCCATCCGGCCACCGCCAGCTGAGGACTCCTTGGTTCCCGCGCGATCATCAGCAGCCACGCACTCGGCAACCTTTGTTGGCCGCAAGACACGACACACGACACACGAAGCAGATAAGCGCGTTCAGGATGAGCCTAACGTAAGCAGGACCTACGACTGGAGGAATGAGAGAACCTTGAACTGAAGAGCGTAGACTTCTTCGAGGAGTTGTCGGAACGTGTCGCCCAGCTCGATGGAGCCCAGATGGTGGTCATCGTCGAATTCGTGCAACACCAACAGACCCTACACACTCACCACGCCAGGCCACGTTGTTTTCATTCCTCGTCAGCCGCGATTGCGAGGTGTAGCCCGAGCCAGGCCTGGGCGACGACGGACCTTGGTGCCGAGCTGTACGTCATCGCGGACGCGGTGGATCGGGTTGGTGCCATCGCGCGTCCCGTGGGCCAGCACGATCGGCACGCCTTGCACGGAACAGCACTCGGTCGTCTGTGCTCACGGCCTTTGTCAATCGCACACGCACGCACCACCGCACACGCACACGCGTGGGTCGGGTAGAGGTGTCGAGATCGAGGCGACGTACGCTCATGGCGGACACGAGGAGGGTGGGTCCCTTCCAGAGTCCTCGCCGCAGGACAGCCGCAGCGAGCTTGCCCCCGCGACTGCCCGCCACCAACACGTCCGGCGGCAGCGCCGGTGGCGGCGGAGGCGGCGGCGGTCCTCCTACATAAAAATTAAAAAAAAAGAAATAAAAATTAAATAAGAAACAAATTGTACATGATTAAAACGGAATAAAATAAATTTAGAAATATAAAAATAGTAATAATATATAAAATGAGTGCTTGCCTGCTGGGAGGGCGGGTGCGGTGGGCTGGGGTGGGAGGGGAGGGGTGGCAGAGGGGAACGAGGCAAGGGCGGGGCGCAGGTCTGCGACGCCGGCTTCGAGGGCGTCGGCAGGCTCGGGCACGACCACCACGGCCACCTCCCACCCTTCGCCCAGAGCCTGCACCAGCGCGCGGCCTCGCCCAAAGCCCTTGTCCACCACCAGCACCCTGACTGTCTTCTTCATCGTCTTCTGCTGCATTCTAGGTCTGAAATAAAAGACAAATATTGTTTATCATTTTCAGGGATATTCCTATTTCACTTCATGTTCGTTGCATACCAACATGTTTATTATTGTAGACAAACCAGGACTGGGTTAGTCGTCGGATTGGTCGGGTGTTGGCGAGGCGGGTTCGGTGGTGGGTGTGGCCCGGCGCGTGGAAGGGTGGTAGGGCGAGGCGGGCGCGGCGAAAGATGATTGAGGGGGCGATGAAGTGGCGGAGTTCGATGATGCCGATGCCGATGACGATGAAGGTGGGGCGTAGGGCGAGGAGGAGACGGAGAGGGAGGAGAAGGAGTCGCGGAGTCGCGTTCGCACGCCACCGGAGAGGGCCATCGAGATGAGGCGTCGGCGCGGGGTCGTGGCCGGCGTCGACGATGGCCCGGGCGACGGGGCCACCATGAACGGGTTTCGTCGCTCCTTCATCGTCCTGCGACACCACCACACACGGCACACGTCAGTCGTGTGCGTGTGCGATAGCGGGTGTGCGGTTATGCGCGTGTGCGTGAGTGCGGTACCGTTTCACGTCGGCGACACGGAGCCAGTCGGGGAACTTGTATTTGCCTTCGGTGTACTGGGCCTGGGTGATGGCCTGATCGTGCTCGACGCAGCCCATGAACGAACCGCCGAGCCAGGAGAGGTAGTGCGGCGGGAAGGCCGGGTCGACGACGCAGAACTGGTCGGCCAGGGCCTTGAACGCGGCGTACTGGGGCTCGGTGTCCACCAATCGCTGGATTCGTTCAACAGACGCCGGCGGAAGCCGGGAATTCGGCCCGTGCCGCCAATCACCACTTTAAGGGCGCGATGAATCACATTGCAACACGCGCGTGAGCCAATCGCGGCGTGGTGTGACGTGGCGCATAGCAACCGGCAGACTGGGGTGGCGGGGCGGGCGTACGTATGTTTTGGGCGAGGGGGCATCGGGCGTCGATGGGGCTGCGCGCGAGGGCGTCGAGCACCGCGGCGGCGATGGACGCCTCGCCCTCGTCGCCGTCGTTCTCGAACAGGACCTCGCCGGCGTAGACGCACGTGTGCACGTCGATGTCGATGTAGTCCTCCGCCGTCATGTCGTACCGCATCTTTTGCATCAGCTTATCGCTCGTGAACCCTGTGTGTTGTGCACGACACGACACGACACGCACAGAACACACGTTCCCGGGTTCAGTGCTCTGCTGTGGCGCGATCGCAAAGTCAAAGGCAAGAGAGCGATCGAGGGGGGATCAGAATGTGTGTGGTTGTCGTCATACCAGGCAACTAGTTATTATTAATATTTGTTTATTTATTTAATACAAATTATAATAAATGTTATTGGGGCCTGCGTGTGATCAGAAGTATCTGTATAGGCATCACTTCCCATGTGGTCGGGTTTGGGGAGGAGTCGGGGAGGGGGGTTGGGTACCGGCCAGTTCGGGCGATTGTGGTTGGATGCTGCAGAGCCGCACCTTGATGTCCTCCACCACCGACTCGGGGAGCCGCTCGCACGCCTGGCTGCTCTTGCTGAACGGATTCACCACCACAGCACGCTGCACCACCGCACACGCACGCACCACCGCACACGCACGCACCACCGCACATTCCCGACAGCGCGTGTTCAGAAGCGGAAAACACAGAGTCGAAGCATCACTGGGGGCGGAAGAGTGGTACCTCGTTGAGGATCGATCGTAACCGGTCGTTGTACGTCTTGCCCGCGAGCACGGTAGTGGTCAGGGCGTGCACGATGTGAGCGCCCATAAAGATCTGCGCCAGATCGCACACACCACTCAAATCATTAACACACGACACGACACACACGACACACACGACACACACGGGGGGGGGATGCAACAATAAATACGACGTACAGGGAGGATGCGCGTGTCGTGGTAGCCGGTGTCGACCACGAGCGCTGTTTGCATTTGCAGGGGGATGAGCGCGACCCCCTTGCTCGGCACGAAGAGCACCGAAGGCACCTACCATCGCACACGTCAGATTGCTGGCACGCGCACGCACGCACGCGCACAGACATAGCGCGCGCCATAAGTGGTGGGCGGCGGGTGGGTCGACAAGGCGCACCTGGAGGTAGCGCAGGAGAAGATCGGCGACTGCGGAGCGGAAGAATTGTGGGGTGAGCAAGCTCTCGCACACCACCACGGGTCGCTCCGGCGGGTTGGCCTGCAGTAGACTGTTGTTACCATGCACACACACAAACATGAGAACCGGTACGCGCCTCGGTGCCTCGCTGTGTGCGTGCGTGCGTCGTGTGTGTCGTGTGTGTGTGTGTGTCGTGTGCGTCGTGTGCGTCGTGTGTGTCGTGTGTGTCGTGTGTGTGTGTCGTGTGTGGTGTGCGTCGACTCACTTAAAGAATATGTCGTAGAGTACGGAGCGTAGGTCAGAGCGCCACGGCTCCTCTTCCGCTCCGTCGCCCATCCCGTTCTGTGGGGCCTCCAGCTGCGAGCCCAGCCTCTCCCTAATCTGCAAGCAACGTTGAAAGAAAACAAATGAAAAAAATTAGAACATAATAACAATCAGAACGAACAAGAATAAATAAATAATAAATGAGGCACAGCATTTATTCAATTGAATGAAATTGAGGGGTGATGAAAGCGTACGGTGGAGGGGGTGCGAAGAAAGTGGCGGGGGCGGGCCTCGCCAGCGAATCCACAGCGCACGAACACGGCGCCCACCTCGATGACCACGCCTGTGGGACCCTTGGCCGCGTCGATGGGGGTGAAGGGCGACGTCACCATCGCTGGCGAAGACACCGTGGGCGTCGATGCCCCCGCAGCACTCGTCGCTTCCCCCGCCCGCACCCTTTCCAGCGCCGGTGAAGCCACCGCCATCTTTGTGTAGCAAATCAAAAAGAATTAAAAAGCTGTACCAAAAGAAAAGAAAATCCAAAGCGCAGGTAAAAAAAAATAATTATAAAACTTATATATATATTTGTGGTAAAAAATGTGTGAAAGAGATTCATTACAGAGACATGCCCAGGCCTGACGTGGGCGGTTCGAAGTGGCGGGGCTCGTCGTCCTCCGAATCGGATGAAGAGGGAGGAGAAGAAGGGGCGTCGCCCGTCGTAGCGGTGCGATTGAGGGAGAGCAGCGGCCGTGCGCTGTCATCGTCGTCGGGCGTCGAGAGCTCGCGCTGGGGCCGCTGGTCAGTGCTGCTGCCGCCGGCCAAGCTCGGTCTGGGCTTGGTGATGACCGGGTACGGGAGGCACATGACGATGATGGCCGCGGCCGTGGGCAAGAGCACCCACAGGTACCACATGACCAGTGCCAGCTCGCCCGCGTCGGCCGCCTCGATCGAGATGAGGAAGATGAGGCCGCAGCCGACGCTGAAGAACATGGCCACGCCCGAAATGATGACCGGACTGACGCGCCACCAGCCCTTGACCAGCGAGATGAGTACGAGCATGCTGCTGAGGCTGGCGGCGCAGTCGACGGCCAGCGCGGCGAGGGCGGCGACGTAGAAGAGCTCGCGCGGCATGCCGTTGTCGTCGCGGAGGCGCGCGAGGATCGACATGACGACCACCACGACTGACATGAGTATGGCCGGCAGCAGGGCAAAGTAGCGACGGTTGCGGCTGGGCAGGGCCTTGAAGGTGTGGAAGTAGTACGAGCCCAGCACAACGAGGCCGCACACGGCGGCGAGGCCCGTGAACAGCGCCCAGCCCAGGGCGCCGTCGTGCCCGGGCACCTGGACGATCACGAACGGCAGCATGACGACCGTCACGGCCGTCAGCCCGCGCTGGAGCGCCGGCAGGGCCTTGCGCAGCCGCTTGAACACGAGCGCGGGCACGGTCAGGAGGGCGGCGGCCACGAAGACGCCCATGACGGTGACGTGGAAGGCGCCGAGCGGCTCGCAGCTCGAGCCGAAGGTGGCCAGGATCCAGTACGAGCCCTCGACGACGGCGACCACGCGCGGATCCCACGCGGTCGAGGCGCCGAGCAGGCCCGCCAGGGAGGCGGTGATGACTAACGCCCCCCAGCCGGCTGGGATGACGATGCCGGTAATGACCCACCAGCCAAAGCCCATCAGGGTCATGCCCGCGTACATGACGAACACGCTCGTGGTGTAGGTGCGCTGGACGGGCGCGGCCTGGGCCAGCGCGCCGGCGGCCGGGTCCGGTATGTCGGCCTGGCCGGCGGTGATGTAGAGCACGAACGGCACGCTGGCGGGCTTCTTCGGCGCCGTGGCCCGGGTCTCCCTCATCGCCGCGAGGAGCGACGGCGGTGGTGATGATGACGTCGAGGGCGACGGCGCTGTCGGCGAAGATGTTGACGGTGAGGCCGCTGATGACGCTGCCGGCGGTGACGGCAATGATGAATTCTGGGGCGATGATGACGCAGACGGCGAGGGCGACGGCAATGATGCATTCTGGGGCGATGCCGATGCAGACGGCGAGGGCGACGGTAACGATGCATTCTGGGGCGATGATGATGCCGACGGTGAGGGCGAGGCCAGTGATGAGTTCTGGGGCGATGACGACGGTGACGGCAATGCCGACGTCGGCGGCAACGACGATGGAGACGGTGACGGCGACGGCGATGCCGAGGGCGAGGGCAGTGTCGACGGCGACGGCGCGAGCGAGGGGTGCAAGAGGGCGCGGAGCCGGTGCTTGCCGCCGGGCAGGCTCAGCGAGGCAAAGACCTGGCTCCGGCACGCGGCCAGTGCGTCGCGCGACCGGCACGCGAGCTCCGTGGAGAGCCACGGCGCCAGGCGGCCGCTGAGCCACAGCCAGGCGTTGGTCGAGCACTGTTCGTTAGGCTGGAAGCAGTACTGCGCGGCGCTGCTGCCGCTGCCCAGCGGGTCGAGGAACTGGGTGTCCAGGTCGGCCTGCATGCCCGACGTGTGTAGCAGTTCGATGGCCGGTGCCGACGCGCCGGCGGACGGCGGCGTGAGCGTGGCGACGGCCGTATCGTTCACGATGATGAGGGGCAGGCCGAACGGCCGCGCTTGGCCGACCACGTTGTGGAATGCCACGCGGTTGCTGCCGTCGGCGAGCTCGATCTGGAGACTGCCCTGCGGCTGCGACGAGTGCGCGCCATGGGCCACCCAGGCCACGGTCACGAGCGGCTCGACGTCGGGCGACTCGTAGACTTGGAGCGCGGCGGACTCGACGATGACGTCGCGCGTCGTGTTGTCGGTAAGGTTGTGCAGCTGGGTGGTGAGCCGCACCGGGCCGTGGAGCCGCACCAGCGGCAGGTGCCACGGGTCGAGCAGCGACGAGGCGTAGACCGCCGCCAGCGCCGTGTCGTCGTCGACGCTGCTCATAAGCAGCGTCGCACCGCCCAGCTCCCCGCCGTCGTCGGTGCCAAAGAACCACTGACACAGCGGCGGCACCGTGCCATTGGTCGCGCGGCTCGCTGCCGACGTGGCATAGATGTCCAGGGTGCTGGTGTCGGCGTCGCCGAAGACGGCCGTCGTCAGCATGAGCCGGCCGCCGGCCTCCAGGTCCACCTCTAACCGGCCGTCGACGCCCAGCACCGAGCCGGCGACCGTGGCGCTGCGCCAGCTGGGTGAGCCGATGTTGTCGATCGTGACGCTGGCTGGCACGCGCTGCAGGACCAGGCGGCGAATGACCGCCGACCGCTCCGTCGCGCCGAGGCCACCCACGTAGAGCGCCGGCGCGGTGAGGTTGAACCTGTCTGCGCGGTGCGCAAAGAGCGAGCACTTGGCGGCGCGCCTGGTGTCGTTAACGCCCACGGCGGCCGCCTCGCGGGCGAGCCACTGCGAGAACGGAGCGGTGATCGGGTCAAAGTCGGAACCCAGCAGGCAGCCGTCGACAAACGACACGCCGCCGGCAAAGTCAAAGTCGGCGACGGTCACCTGCGACCGCGGGCCGACGGCCACGACGGTGCGGTTGGCGAGCAGGGCCTGCGGCGTGACGACGACCGTGGCGTTGACCACCAGTACGGCGCTGTCCAGGTCCAGCAGGCGGACCGATGACTCGGTGGCGTTGTTGGGCGTGACGATCACGAGGTCGGCGTCAGCCGTGCCCCGGACCTGCACGTCGACGGGGCACTGCGTAGCGTCGAGCTTGATGTGGTCGACGTGCATAGTGCGCACCTCGAGCACGCCCACGGTCGTGCGGCACAGGCCGGCCGGCGCGAGCGACTCGAGCTGGACCGACTGTACGTCAGCGCCCCCGGTGACGTTCACGGTCGTCAGGGAGCGCGAGCCGGGCACGGCCAGCACGTTGACGTCGACCTGGGCCGACGACGGAACGTCGACGACGACGTCCCAGTCTGAAGCCGTAGGGAACGGCGGCTTCTGGCGACCCTGGCCATTGAGGTTGACCGTGGCCAGCTGCGCCGAGCCCACCACCCGGTAGGTGACGTTCGACTGCACGTCCATGTTGATCACCTGTCCGGGCACCGTGACGTTGACCACCACCACGGGCCGCGACTCACCGCCATCGGCCACGGTCGCCAGCGGTACAACATCAGCGGCGGCCTCGGCAGTGTCGACCGCCAGGCGGCCGCCGTAGATGAAGAGCAGGTCCTCGGTGCGCACCTGCTGGAGGGCGAGCGCGGCGTTGTCGGGTCCCACGGGCGCCACCACGTTGTCGTGCACGCTCGGCGGCAGCGACAGGCCGCCGTAGTAGAACGCCACTACGTCGACATCGGTGTCGCGGCCCAGCAGGACCGTGGCGTTGCCCATCGGCGAGTCCAGGAGCACTGAGTCGGCGCCCGGGCCGAGGTCGAATTGCGCCATGGGCTGGGCTCTACCGGTGCCGTTGGCGCCGCTGGTGGCCAGCGGGGCGGCGAACCAGGTGACGTTGTCCGCGCCGGGGCCGAGCTCCATCGTCACGCTGGCCTGGCTCACGTTTACGCCGTAGAACGAGTCATCGGCCCAGCCCGTGATGATGGCGACGTTGATCGGGCCGGTGTAGACCACGGGGCACGGGTCGACGCACGCGGCGGCGAGGCCGTACGCGGTCATCAGGTCGCACATGTCGGCCGAGGGCGTGATGGTGATGTGCGACGGCGTGACGCGGCCGCTTGCCGTGCGGTTCTGCGCGGCGAGGCAGCCGCCGTCGAGGTAGTAGTGCTGCGCCGGCGCCGCCTTGCCCGTGCCCGCGGCCAGGCGCACGATCGCGGCCTCCCAGGGTGTGGCCGACGCGTTCTGCGGCGGCGGTTGCTGCGCGATGGCCACCGGGGCGAGTATGCCTTTCAGCGGGTCGGTACTGCCGACCCGGGACTGCTGCGGGCCGATGTTGACCTGCGTGATGCGGCCGAGCAGCAGCAGCGGGCTATCGGTGGCCGCGATGTTGGCGATGTTGGTGACGTCGTTGTCGCCGTCGTCGTTGGTGGCGTTGGTCGCATTTTGGGCGCCGGTGCCAAAGTCAAAGACGTACTCAGTGCCGACAGTGCCCTCGGCCATGCGCAGAACCGAGCCGCCGAGGCCGAACTGGACGTCGACGCGGTCGATCTGGTTGAACATGAGGTGGAAGAAGCTGCCGTCGTTCTCGACGTCGTAGACCAGGATCGTGTTCTGCTGGATGTCGTACTGCAGCGGCCGCGTCTCGGCCGAGGCCTCGATGATGACGTGGACCGTGAGCGAGATGTTGGCGACGGCGTTGAGCCACACGGTGCAGCGCATGCCCGTCACCTGGTGGTTGTTGCCGATCCTCACCTCGTGATGGCCGCCGTTCTGGAACGTCACGCGCAGCTCCGACTTGCCGTCGCACCCGGTGATGCGCTGGGAGATGGTGCCGCCCGGCTCGCCGTGGGCCACCACCACCACCGAGTCGTCGCGCTCCACGCCGAGCAGCGTCACGTTCGAGAGCGTGTCCGCCGCGCCCTTGATGATGTAAGTGCGGCGCTGGATGCTGGTGTGCCGCAGGGTGGTGCTGTTGCCCGCGGACGCGTTGTGGCCGTCCTGCAGCACGAGGCCCATCGCGTTGGCCGTGACCAGCATGTCTACGCCCGGCAGCGTGACGATGGTGATCTCGGTCGTGTCGTCGCCCGACCCGCCGTTGATCAGCGTGCTGCCGTGCAGCAGGCGCATGTCGGGTACCACGAACCGGTCGCTGATCGAGCCGCCGGTGATGCGTGCCGCAACGCCGGCCGCCACCTCTGAGATGATGTAGGTCGACGGCCGCTTGAGGTCGCCCTGGACCGACAGGGTCTTGTAGGCGGCCGGCAGGCCAATCTCGGCGGTGAGCTCGCCGTCGGCGGCAATGAGGCTCTTCGCGGTGATATTAAGCACGGTCGCGGTGATGGCGCTCGTGACCGACCAGACCTCGCCCTGGATCTCGAGCAGCCGGCCGGCATAGGCGGCGACGTCGCCCGCGAGCGAGATGTTGGTGGCGACGGCGGACTCGAGCAGGACCGGGCAGGGCAGGCCCCACACGTTGAAGGTGACGCCGGCCTTGGGCTTGGTGAAGTGCACCTGCGCGCAGCGGGTGATGGTGACGCCGGGCACCGTGTCGGGCGTCACGGCCTGCGGCGACAGGGCGATGGTGCTCACGTTGCGGTACTCGGCCACCTGGTAGCGCATAGTGACCGTATCATAGTCCGGCAGGACCACCAGCTGCGTCACGTAGCCGATCGACCAGGTGAAGGCCGAGCCGCCCGGGTCGCCGTGCGTTATCAGGGACTGCGATGCCGGCAGGCCCGCGCGTGACATGTGCGGCGCGCCGCCGAACTCGGTCACTCCCGCGGGCGTAAAGTCGACCGTGATGCCCTGCGGCGTCTGGAACACCGAGAACGTGAGGCCCGGGTCGGGCGGCGCCGCCGAACCGTAATCGGTCATAGCGATGCTCGATCCGTTGTATCCGTTGTTGTTGGCGCCGACCTCGCACGAGTCGCAGCCCAGCGCGGGCGCGCTGTCGGCCGAGCGCTTGCCGCCGCCGAACTGGACGAGGGCGAGGTTGACCGAGGTGTGGCCGCCCGATGAGATGGCAAGGGAGTCGAGCGGATTGCTCGAACTGTCGTAGAGGGTCCACGAGTGTTCCCAGTGCTGGTCCGTCCACGTGAAGCAGAAGCGGACGGCGAGGAGGTTGATGCACGTCTGGATCTTGATGCCGAACCCGAGCGAGAGCACGATGCGGAAGCGGATGGCGCCGGCCGGGCCGTTGAGGCGGATGAGGAAGGCCATCTCGTTGAAGGTGACCCAGCCGTCGTTGTCGAGGTCGACGAAGCCGACGTCGCCCTCTAGCGTGACGGTGAGATAGGTCTCGGCGCGGAAGATGAAGATATCGATGGCGACGCCGCCATAGAGGCCGATGGCGGCCTGGACGGGCCAGCGGACCGAGCCGTCGTCGTTCTTGGTGGGCAGCGCCAGGGCGCTGAAGAGCACGCCGGGCGACTTGGTCTTGAAGGCGCCGGCGAGGCCACTGTACATGAGCGAAACGCCGCCAAAGGAGAGCGTGAGCCGCGCGTTGACGCCGACGATGATGTCGACCTCGGGCGGGTCCCACACGATGATGGGCCACTCCATGCCGACGAAGAACGTAACGTCGGGCAGCGTGACGCCGGCGATGGCAAAGTCCTTGCCCGTGATGGCGCTCATCATCGTGTTGGCCAGGTCGTCGAACATGTAGAGGCGGATGCCGAACTTGCCCGCGGTGGTCACGCCGCGGTGGAACCCGCCGGCGGCGTCTTTGAGCTTGTCGTTGCCGGCGGCGGCGCCCTTGTACTGGAGGCCGTCGGGCGGCACGGCGCCGGTGAACTTGGGCTCTGGGTGGGCCTGCTTGAAGTCGACGGTGAAGTTGCGCACGAGCTGCACGATGTTGCAGCCCTCGCCCCCGAGCATGGACGAGATGTCGGCCAGCGACTCGACGTCGCTGAACACCTGCGCAAAGGTCTTGAGCATCTCGAGCAGGCCGCCCACCTTGCACTCGGTGGCCGACTGGCAGGCGTAGATGAGAAGCTGGGCGAGGTTCATGTTGTTGCCGAACACGCCCGAGAGGCCCGGCACGGGCTTGAGCAGGATGCCGTCGGGGCCGAGCACCGGGTCGAGCGGGTGGAGCAGCTTGTCGATCGTTTGCGACACGGTGCCGCCGATGACGTTGGTCAGCAGGCGGCCGATGCAGAAGCCGATGTCGGTGATGGCAAAGTGGGGCACCAGGTGCGGGTTGTGGCGCAGGTCCCACTCCCAGGTGAGGTTGAGTGTGGCCTGCCAGTGCGGCAGCGTGTCGAGCGCGTCGGGTCCGGCCTTGGCCAGCCGCTCGGCCAGCTCGCCGCCCAGGCCCAGCTCGGCCGCGCCCAGCACCTGCGCGTCGGCGACAAAGTCGATCTCGAGATTCTTGTCGACCGTGAGCTTGGCCTCCAGGAGCTTGGGGTTGTGCAGGGCCAGGTCGGCCCCGATCCAGCCCAGCGTGCCCGACAGCTCGCACCCGGGTTCCACCTCGAGCGCGATGTCGCCCAGGAACATGGGCGACGTCTCGAACCGGAACGCGAGACCGTGCGAGCGGTTGAAGGCCATCACCATCACCAGGTCCCACTCCATCTCCAGGTCGGCGCCGCACTTGAGCGCCAGCGTGGCCGGCCCGTGGTCGCCCAAGCTCACGTCCAGGTGCGGCAGCGCCCGCTTGTTGGCGCCGCGGAAGTGCAGCGGCCACGTGAACTCGGTCGCCGATGAAGACGAGTTGAGCTGCGGCACGGCCGGGCACGACACGAGCAGGTCGCGGAACTCGTAGCACAGGGCCTCGGTGAAGAGCTCGAGCACGAGCTGCTCCAGGTCGGCCTCGTTCTGGGCGGCGCTCTTGGTGAGCAGGCGGTCGGTGATGGTGCTGATGGCCCGCGTGAGGCTGTTGACGGCGTCGGCGCCGTTGACCTGCCCGAGCGCGTCGGTGAGGAGCCCCGACACCAGCTTACCCACCAGCGGCAGCTCGGCGCCCTCGCGCAGCGCGACCAGGATGAGGTCGATGAACTGGGCGAGGCCCGTCTCCCACTGGTCGACGAACCCGAGGCCGAACGAGGCCAGGAGCGGCTGCTGGTGGAGCAGCTCGAGCAGCTCCACGGCGAAGCCCTGACCGCAGTTGCGCTGGGTCACGCTCGGCATCTGGCCGGCGATAAAGGCCGCCAGGTCGGTCACTTCCACGCCCACGACACACTGCACGTTGGTGCTGAAGCCCACCACCGCGCTGAAGCCCGCCGAGCCGGTCAGGCTTACCCGCACCTCGGGCGTCGCGTTCGACGAGCGCTGGTGGTGGTCGACGAGCGCGATACTCGACTCGTCGGTAACGGCGGCGTCGGATTCGGCGGGAGCGGCGGGGGGCAGGCGGGCGACGAGGCGGGCCGGGCTGCCGACCCACACGTGCGAGTTGGGCAGGGCCAGCGCGACGGGGCCAAAGTTGCCCTGGACGGTGCCCTGAAGGTCAAAGTCGACGGCGACGGCAAAGGAGGTGGCCTCGCGGTCGAGGCCGAACGTGACCAGGCTGCCGTTGTTGCCGAAGCGGGCCAGCAGGCGCAGGCGGAAGTCGAACGCCACGTTGAGGGTGACCTCGCCGGCGGCGCCGATGCCAACCGGCAGACTCGGATCGGCAAAGAGCGCACTGGTGTCGAAGCGCACCTGGTCGACGTAGGTGCGGTTGAAGGGCTCCACCACCAAGTCGATCGCCAGGCCCGTGTCAGAGATCTCAACGTTGGCGCAAGCCGTCGTGGTGCCGCTGAAGGCCGGCTTGACCAGGTCGCAGAAGGTGCCCAGCGAGAAGGGCTCGTGGGCGCCGCACACGCTCGACTGGAGGCTGTCGAGCGAGGCCACCAGGTTGTCGTTGAGCACCGACCCGAAGCTGCGGTGGGCGAACGGGATCTGGGCGCTGACCAGCGGCGTCTGCACCAGGACGGCGGCCAGGCCGTCGGCCAGGTCGATCCACGAGCAGATGGAGGTGTTGGTTCGCAGCAGCCCGCGGAAGGTGTCAATCGCGCGGCGCGTGCCGTTGAACGACGACGACCAGGAGCCCAGGCGCTGCGTGAGATTCTTGAGCGAGTCGAGGCTGTCCACGACGTAGTGCCCGACCTGCCCGAACGTGATGCCCGGTGTCGATACATTACTGCCGCGGCTGCTGCCGACGGCCGACAAATTGGGAGGCGCCCCGGTGACGTCGTTGACGTCGAGGCCGGTCACGACGGCCGTGTTGTTGACCTGTAGGCCGACGGTGAAAGAATCGAAGAAGCGCTCGCGCGACGGGTAGAGGTCGGTCAGGGCCTGGAACTTCGAGGCACCGGCGATGGTGACGGTCATGCGGCTCAGGGTATGCTGCCGAGCGGCGGTGAAGGCGACGACGCCGATGCGGCCCTGAGCCGTCGGCGGGCCGGTGGTGCGCCGGCCGTGCGCGTCGGTCTGAGCTGCAGCGGCAGCCTCGACGTTGGTGGCCAGGGTCATCAGCAGGTCCTTGGCCAGAATGACGGCCTGCGAGGGCACGTTGGTGGCGTTGGCGATGGCGGGCAGCGGTGAGACGGCGTTGATGCCGAAGGCCGTCGGCAGGATCCAGCGGCCGTCGGGCAGCTGCCGGCGCGCGAGGTCGAAGCGGACCTGGCTCGTGCGGTGGATGACGCCGTCGCCGGGCACCTCGTAGATGGCCAGCATGGGCCGCAGAGTCTCGTTGACCTGCGGCACCACGTCGTCGATCAGCGCCGCGCTCAGGAGCTTGCCCGCGGGCAGCACGACGAGTTGCTGCACGCTGAGCCACTCGGGCCGGAACGAGGTCGACAGCACCTGCGCGCCAATCGTGAGCACGAACGTGTTATTGGGCGCGGCCGGCACCAGCGTGCCATTGGTCGTCGTGTTGACGCCGTCGAAGCAGGTGCTGAGGCTGATGTTGCCCCGCCCGCCCAGCGGCGGCCCGCCAAAGATGGTGAACATCTCGGCCGACAGCGTCGAAGCCACCGCGCCGGTGCCCGTCGCGTTGGGCGAGCTCAGCTGGATCACGCCGTCGGACGCGCTGATGCGCGGCTGCATGACAAACTGGTAGTCGTCGGCCACGTGGTCGGCCTCGACGCGCACCGACATGGCCGGCAGCTCCGAAGGGTAGAAGGCAGCCAGCTCGGGCGGCACGACCAGCGACGCGTTGGTGGTGGTCCACTGCGCGGTGCCGGTGCCGAGCGGGTCGTTGTCGTAGGCGAAGATCGCGGCCATGAGGCGCGCAAAGTCGGCCCAGGTGCCAAAGGCGGGCTTGGGCGACGTGATCCACTTGCCGTCGATGCTCACGTTGCCGCCCACCGACACGGTGGCGATGGCGAAGCTCCAGATGATACCGGGCACCGCGGGGAACAAGCCGACGCGGCCGCACTCGGTGCCGTCGGGCTGGGTCTGCGTGGCCAGCACGCGGACGGCCAGGTAGGAGTCGAGGCCGCAGCTGGCCAGTAGGCCCGTGACGTCATCACGCAACGCGCCGACGCTTGCCGGCGCCAGCGGCCCTGCGGCCTTGCAGGTGACCAGGGCGTTGGCGTTGACGGTGACGTTGAGCGCGAAAGCGGTCACGTTGCCGCCGCTCGGGCCGGTGGCGCCCGGGCAGAAGGTGGCCGACTGGACCAGCTGGCCGCTGTTGGACGACGCCGGCATGCTGCCGAGCCAGGGCTTGATGATGGTCAGCAGGCGGCCGAACTGGGTGATCGAGCCGAGCGGCTTGTCGAGCGGCGGGATCGGCACGTTGAGCGTGCCGCTGAAGGCCTGCGGGAGCGCCGGCAGGATGACCTCGCTCAGCACGGACATGACGCGGGACGAGGTGACTGTAGGCGTGCCGAGCGTGGCGTCGACGCCGTCGTCAGCCTTGGTCACGACCAGCACGGCTCGCCTCGGGTCCACCAGGTCTTCATCGGCGATCTGCGCGCGGAGGGCCAGTTGCTCTGTGGCGACGGCCATCGTCACGCGGAGGTGGGTCGAGCCGGGCAGGTTGACCGCCAGCGCGGCCGAGGCGCTGCCGCCGGTGACCGTGCCGGCGAGCATGCCGTAGGTGAATGGGATCACCCAGCCCCGGAGCTCGCCGCCGCCGCGCACCGAGAACTCACTGATGTTGTAGGCCGACGGGCTGACGGTGAAGCGCAGCGTCGTGATCAGTGCCATCGGGATGGCGAGCCGCGCGGTGTCAGCGGTGGAGTCCCACGTCGTGCCCACGGTCGCCACCTGGAACCGCCGCTGGTTGTGGATGACCAGCGAGACGTCCATGGTCTGTGCGTTGAGCAGCGGCACGACGCGCACATCGGCAATGACGGTATCGTCGCCCGCCGCGTAGGCAGCGATGGCCGATTGGATGAGCCCGGCGAGGGTCCAGCCGTCAATCGGCTGCGTGGAGCTGATGGCCTCGCTAACGGCGAGATCCGAGATCATGTCGACCAACCGTATGCCGCGGGCCATTTCGCCAAAGTCGAGCCCGACCACCGGCTGCACAGCGCTCTCGGCCCAGGGGACCTCGAACAGGTCAGCCGAGATGGAGTCGAGCGACGCGCGCAGGGCCGATGGGTTGCCCCACGTGCCGTCGGTGGCCAGCTGGCCGTCGCGGGTGAGCCCGACCGTAGAGCCCATTACGCCCGCCGCGGCCGAGCCGGCCTGGGCCGTCGCCGTCGCCGTGGACGCACCAAAGTCGTAGGTGACGTAAGCGCTGCTGAAGAGCAGCGTCGGGTCGGAGGCGTTGAATTGGGCCTGGACCGAGGCCACTGCGGAGAAGCGCGGAGCGGTGACCACGTCGACGCTGGCCGTCTTGTTGGTGCGTGAGTCGAGCAGGTGGGTGCAGTTGATGGTCACCACGGCGGTGAAGAAGCGGGCCAGCTCGACGTCGGTGTCGGTGAGGTTCTTGGGCACGCGGGGCACCTCGTAGGTGGACAGGGAGCCGAACTGCTGCACGGCAGCAGCGCTCAGCGTGTGGAGCGCGGCGTTGGCGTGGGACACGATCACGTCGACGCCCACCGCCGAGGGACTCGAGAGGCGGACGCGCTGGCGGGCGATGTCCATCGCCAGTGTAGCGCCGAGGCCGTCGGGCGACACGAAGACCTGGAGCTCGCTGTCGTGCAGCACCGCGATGTAGTGGAGGAATCCAAAGAATGTGGGGTGGAACGTCTGCGACACGTAGGCGTCGACTAGCGCGGCGACAGCATTCGAGTCGCTCGGGAGGAGGTCGGCCATCAGTGCGTCGACCAGCGGCACCGACGTCGCCAGCCGGTGCTGGATGGCGGCGAAGAGGGCCGTCACGTTGAACTTGAGGTCGGCTTCCGTCAGCGCGTGATCGGGGAGCAGGAGTCCGCCGCCGTGGGCCGAGAACAGATCGAAGGGCGCCACGTGGTGGCGCGCGGCGTCAGAGTCGAGGAGCACGCCGGCCATGCGGCCCTGCGTGACCAGCGGGATGGCGCGCACCAAGCCTACCGCCGTGCGCTGGTCGGTGAGTGCCGCCAGCGGCCAATAGGCTGCGGCTTGGTCCAGCGGCGCCGACACGGAGAGCGCGATCCCCACGTAGGACTCGCTGCAGCGGAACAAGGCCTCGCTGCGGGCGCTCATGCCTCTGGCGCGCACGTACGACTGGGTGAGGTCGGCAGGGGCCGTGGGGGACAGGAAGCCGACCGTGAGGTCGACGCTGAGCGAGGCCCGCAGGGAGTCGACCAGGAGCACGGGTGTCGGGCACAGGTCGCGGCTTCGCGCGGCCGAGGCCACGAGCCGCTGGAGCGCTTCGGCGAACGGCATGCTGGCGCACTCGGCGCCGCGACACTCAACCTGACTCTGCAGGAGTACGCCGACGCCCGGCGTGGCCGCGGCCGAGGTGCGGATGCCGCCCACAGTTACGTCAGCCAGGGTCACGGGTGCGAACGACGAAGCGTTGAGGAAGGCGCCGCGCGCGGTTTCGGTGAGCGCCGATGGCAAGACGTCGAACAGGACCTGACGCAGCGCCGGGCTGCCGGCCACGTCGCGCACGATGCCGGAGATGTCAATCAGCGAGCCGACGTCGGCAGGCGGCTTCGCCGTAGTGTCGACCACGGCCGGGTTGGTCCCGTCGAAGAGATCGGCGTCGTACAGGGCCAGCGACGACGCAGCAGAGTTCCTATTCAAACCACCGTACCACCCGACGGGCAGGCTGGCGGCGGCCTCGAGCGGTACGGCGACGATCGATTTGGTCATGACACCGTAGACGTTCGCGCTGGCGCTGGCGGACTTGACAGTGAGCCCGAACTCCATGGTGATGTTGAGCAGGTCGAGCTGCTGCCCATCGGCCGAGAGGCGCGCGGTGATCGTGCGTCGCACGCGGCCGCCAGACGCGCTGAGGCCCTGCCGCCGGGCAAAGTCGGCGGCGAGCGTGAGGGATGGCTGGGGCTGCCAGTCAGCATCGGCGAAGGAGAAGGGGTTGCCCTTGTGCTCTACACACGCGTCCTGTGCCCACTTGAGGCTGTGCCATTGCGCGGCTGCTCGTGTGGGGGTGTCGAGCCCGTCGGGTGCGGGCAGGGTTGCTACACAATGGGAGATGGAAACCAGATCAGTCGCCCAATTTGGTTTTTGCTCGTGTAGCGGGGATCACATACCGATGTGGTAATTGACCACTATGCACAAGCGAGGCACAGCATCAATCGAAGCGGAGGAGGAAGAGGTGTGTAAGGAGAGAGTAAAGAAGATGAACAAAAACAGATTAATGAGGAGGCGAGATGAGAGGGAGCCCGCCATGCAGAGATTCGAGGTTCATTAGTTGAGTGAATCTCCGCAGAAGGTTTGGTCGCGTTCTTCATGAATCCAGAAAGGGCAGGTCCACGCTCCATCGTGATGTTCTCCTTTTTGAGTCAGAGAGAAGTTTGCGTTTTTATTTTGATTTTATTTTGTGTTTTAAGTATAAGCTTTATACATAGCTATCTCGAGCTTTGGGTGGTGGCTCTGGCCTGCCGCAGTGGAAGGTTGGGCGCTGACAAAGGTGGTGAGCCTCCACGCCAGAGTGTGATTGATTATCTACAACGGTTATTTTATGTGAGATGAAAGGCGCGAACTGCAGCTGTCGTATGTACAAGCTTTTACATGTGTGTGTGCGGTCGAGTTCCCTTTCAGCTGGCGCCTCCTCCACCACCTTTGTGTCCTGTCCACTACTAGTTGCACGAAGCGGCGAGGGGCTGCTTCAGCTGCGATCGATTGAGGAGGGGCATGGTGCTGCTACGCGGGCGACAGGATCCCTGCTGGAGCCTCGAGAGCTGTCGCTCGTAGAGAGATCGATGGACGCCCTTGAGCCACCTCTGCGTCCGCGCGATGCCCTCGAGCCGCATCGCGAATTGGCCCTCCTCCTGCTTGTTCTTGGCCATGCGCATCTTGAACCGCAGGTGGCTGCTCCTGGCACGCAGCTGGAACAGCTCTCTGCTCACCACGGCCGGGTCCATCTCGTTCTTGCTCTTGTTCTCTCTCGACCAGGCAGAGATCCAATCTTCAATTCAACACGATCGCACGAGTCGTCTAGCGAATCGTCGTGTCGAAGAGGACAAATCTCTCTAACTGTTGAGCGTCGAGAAGAAGAGACCAAGGGATGAGATGTGCTGCACACTGCTTGGGGCTGGCGCGAAGGACAAAAGAAAAGGTCGCCCCACCAGTCAACATTTTTATTTGTCGTTGCATAAAAGCCTCACGTTCCTGATTTCTCGTTGGCCGGTTCTTTGGGGCAACAACTGTTCCTGGGACAACGCCGACAAAGTCCGCAGTACCGACCAACCAACGGCCGCGGCTTTTCCCGCCAAAATTTTGTGCTGGGCGGGAAAAGCCACCAACGGACATTTTGGCCTACTGCGCCCAACCAAGGACCAGCGTTGATGAGCATCCAGGGTGAAGAAGGTCAGTGTTGTGAAGATCAGGCACACCGGAAGAAGCGCAAGAAGTGGGTGGAGCGTGGGAAAGGTTGGACGAAAACCAGTACATGTAGGGAAAGTGCGTCACTCGTCCTGAGTTTGGACATAGGATGCGGGAAACATGCCCTCCACACCGTTCAAGGTGCCGTGCCACCACTCCTGTTGTGTGGTGGAAAAGTGAGGTGAAGCTGGTACAATGGCTGCAGTCTATCAGGAAATGCCGAGTGTGGTACACCGTCGCACCTCATCAGAGTAATCGGTAAGGGTGATCACGTCACCCGCCTTGAAGGAGAGCTCCTGCTCGTTCTGGCCGTCGAAATCGTACAGGGCGGTCGCCGTGTAGTAATCACCGGCCTCTGTTGGCGGGTGGTGGTAAGACCGTAAGCTCACGGGCACTGGTGGGGGTGGTGCGTACCGCCCTCCTCGGGAAGTTCATCGGCCTGGAAGGTTTCGATCGCCTGCACGTAGGAAGCGGGAACCACGCCCTCGCGCCCATTGAGCCGGGCTCGCACCCACTCGTCGTCCGGCCTGCGAGCGTGCACGGGTGAGCAACTCCGCTCGTGTGTGTAGCATGGGCGAGAAAACGCACCAGTCCAGCACGTCCAGGATGTCGCCCTGCTTGCACTCCAGTTCTCCATCGTCCTGCGGCGTGAAGTCGTAGAGGACCTCGACCTGCGCTCCGGTGGCGTTCTCGTGCACGGCGGCCACCGCGTCCGACGAGGCGGAGTGATGCTGGTAGTCCACGTGTGCCGCCGCCTGTGGCGTGGGCTCGGGCTCGGGCTCGGGCTCGGCCGGAGCAGCTGCGACGTGCTGCTCTTCTTCGTCGCCGTCGATGGTCTCCACGTAGGAACACGGGAAGCTGCCCTCCCGGCCATTCAGCTCGCCCGTCCACCATTCCTGTACAGTAACGCAGTGAGCCTCTCGCGCGCGCGCAGAGAGAGAGAGAGAGAGCGCGGGCGAAGAAGGCAAGATGATGGGGCGTGTACGTCGTGGGAGTAGTCAATCAGGTTGATGATGTCGCCGGCGTTGAAGCTCAGCTCGCCGCCGGTTTGGCCCATGAAGGGGAACATCGCGCGGGCTTGGTAGCCGCTCAGCTGGGACGCCGGCGCTGCAGCTGCAGCGGAAAACGACCAGCGTCAACATCACCGCACGTACATACCCACAGAGAAAAGAAAGCGCACCGGTGGCTGCAGGCGGGGCAGCGCTGGCCGCCTTTCGCTGCTCGAGCAGTGCCTTGATGTCCTGGGCCTGTTTCTTGAGTTTGTCGATGTCGTCCTGCATCTGCTTCACCTCTTGCTGGGCCTGAGTCGACCAACGACAACGACGACAGCTGTGAGTATGTGCTTGGTTTGGCCACGTCAGGCCTGAGCTCTAGGCGAGGGTGCGGCACCTTTTGCTGGGCGGCCGGGTCCTTGGCGTAGAAGCCCACGAGCTTCTCCAGGCCGCTCTTCGTGGCGGTGAGCTTCTTAACCTTGTCATTGGCCTGCTTCAGCTCCTCCTCCTACGCGTTGGAATGTGCGTACAATGCGAACACACATCAGCAATGTCCAATGTGTACAAGAATGTCAAGAATGAAAATGTGGAGAATGTCTCGTACCAGCTGCTCTACGGATTTGCCAGAGCCGGCTTCGGCAGCGGCCGCAGGCGGCTGGCTCGCGGTGGGCGGCCGGGTGGTGGGCAGCTTGGCGTCGGTCGCCCGCTTCTGCTGCGGTGGCGGCGCGTCCTGCCGCTTGATCTCCGCCGGTCCAGCCGCAGCCGCCTTGCCGGGCTTCTTGCCGGACTTGTCGAGCTCCTTGAGCTTGGTGAGGGCCTTCTGCTTCTTGCCCTGGAGTTCGCGCAGCATCTCCCGCTTGGGCTCCGTGTCGGCCGGCGTCGCGCCGCCCTTTTCCATCATGCCCAGCGCATCCGTCTCGGCCTTGATCGTGCTCTGCGCCCCATCATCGTCATCGACATGAGATAGATTAGCGCTCATTGCCACAACATCCACCACCAGGAAGAAGCATTCATTACCTCGAGGTCCTGGACGTAGTTCTCTAGGGCTGCCACCTTCTCCTTGGTCTTCATGGAGGCGTTGATCGGCAGACCCATATTATCTGCATTTATTTTATCAACAATTATTATTAAATTACACCTCACAACAAGGTAAAAAAATCTATATGGGAGCTAAAGAAACAATAAAAGAACAACGAGATAGATAGATAAAACAAAGGGGCGGTACCTTCGCTGGCCTTGTTGCTCGAGGCGCTGAAGAGGTAGTTGCGCCAGGCCAGGATGCCGCTCATCCATCGCATCTGTGCGCGCGTGCACACGCGATCCCATTAGCACGGACCGAGGTCATCAGCGGTGGCTTTAGTTGGCGGCGCGTACCTGGTCCTCGACTGTGGTGGCCTGGAGATGGTAGGTGCGGCCCGTGGTCACGACCACGTCCAGCGTGTACCCGCCCTTCACCTTCGCGCCAGGCATCACCTGACATTTCGCGCGTACAATATTAGCAAAAGTAATTCAAACAAAATATGAGTAAATATTTATCTTTTATATTTATCTTTATAATTTAAATGGTGAAGGAAAGCTGCGTACCATCTGGACCTCGAGGATGTCGAAGTGGCCCTGCGGCTTGATGTCCTCCTTGTCCATGTCCACGGCCTTCTTGCTGCGCCAGCCCTGTGGAGCGCTTCAGAAACGAAAACGCTCGGCGCAGTCCCAGTCAAGAGTGGTAGTGAGCGTACGCTGTGGATCTCGACGATGTCGGTGTTGCCGCGGGAGGTGCCGACGGCCTTGGGCCGTTCCTTGTAGTAGTAGATCGCTTTGCCCTTCTGCTGGAACCACCGCTGCGACCAGCGTCGGGTCAGGCCCTTGTCGCCCAGCTTCAGCAGGTACCCGCTCAACTCGGCCGGCGCCTGCAGCGACCATGTACATCCATCAGCCCACCATGGTGTCGTGTGTGTCCGGGTGTGTGTCGTGTCGGAAAGCGTACGGTGTCGCCCTGGAACGACGAATAGTCTTGGGGGGCGGGCTTGGGGGCGGCAACAGGCGCGGGCGCGGGTGCAGAGGGAGCCGCTGCGTGCGTGGTAGCCTTTTTGTCGACTTTCGGCGGTTCCGGTTCCTTGAGGCTGATCGGATCGACCGGCTTCGCGGCGCTGGCGGCCTTGGTGGCCTTCTCGCGCTCCTTCTCCTCCCTTTCCTTCTCCTTTTCTCTTTCTCTTTCCTTTTCCTTGGCTGCCTCCCTCTCCCGAGCCGCCGCTGCCGCCGCCACGTCCTTCTCCCGGGCCTCCCTGTCGCTCTTCTCCTTTTCCTTGGCCTTTTCTCGCTCCTTTTCCTCCTTCTCGCGCTTGGCCTCGCGGCGTTGCTTCCACTCCCGCTCTTCTTCATCGTCTCGCTTCTTCTTTTCGTCGTGCGCAGCCGACTCCTGTGCCGCACGACACGCACGTGAGATTTCTCAGCCGATCTTTACGTTGCACACAAACTACCGACCTTGGGCTGGGTCGATGCCCTGTGCGAGGGCCGGGCCGGCTTGGACTGCTCCCGGAGCGCCTGCATCTTGAGCTCGCCCAACAGCTCTGCCACGCGCCGCCCGCCATCACCGCGTTAGAGCGCTGACGTGGCACCACGTCATCCATCCCTGCTCACTCGCTAGGAGACACTCACCGGCGGCGAGGAGAAGGCTCTTGGCGGAGAAGATGATGCTCTGCAGGTGCTGGAGGGCGCCGTCGAGCTCCTCCTGGATCTGCTTGCGCGTGGTGATGGCGGGCGAGGTGGTGGCGGTGCTCTCGGCGAGCACGCCCACGAAGCTCTGCAGGGCCTGCACCGACGTGTTGAGGAACGTCACCTGCTCGTCCTTCAGGCCCTCGGCGCCTTTGCGCACCGTCTCGATCAACTTGTCTGTACACAGACCACCAACCAAACCAAACGACCGTGTGTGTGTGTGTGTGAGTGTGTGTGTGAGTGTGTGGTGTCGTGAGATATCGCAGGAGCGAGCGAGCAGAGCCGAGAATGGTTACCGAGAGCGATCTTGAGTGTCTGCTGGTATCGTAGCAGGCCGTCTTTGGCGGTGGCGTCGCCCTGGGTGGTGTGGAGGGGGTTGTAGTCGTGTGAGCAAGTGCGCGTGTGGCGAGAGGGCGAGAGGCGCACCTTGGCGATGGCCGCGTAGCGGTTGACCCAGTACTCGGCCAGCTTCTTGCCGGTGAGGGTGAGCGTCTTGGCGGCCACCAGCACCGACGAATAGAAACTCAAGCCCGTCTTGCCGGTGGGCTTGCAATCCTCGAACTCGGCGTCGATGTCCAGCAGCACTTCGATCGGCGGTTCATCTTCGACTGGTATTGCCACGTGTGGTAAGCGTGTGTGCGTGTGTGTCACGTGTGTCGTGTGTGTCGTGTGTGTCGTGTACCCTGCGGTGAGCTGGGAGCTCGTCCAGCCATCGAGGTGCGCTGCTGGCGCTGAGGGCTCGGGCTGCCCCGGCCGCCGGGCCGGTCGGTCCCGATGCGCGAGGGTCCGCGCGGGCTGCCACCGCGCCCACCGCGCTGCTGAGGCGGCCGCGCGCCCTGGAATTTGGGAGACATGGGCGCCGCCGACGCCGGGCCTCTGTGCGCTCCGCCGAGCGACGCTTTCCTCGGACCGTCGCCGCGGCCCCCGCGGCCACCGTCGCGGTGTTGGCTGGGCGGCGACGCGCGACGGTACTCCTGCTGCGGCGGCGGCTGTTGCTGCGGCTGCTGCGACAACCGGCGGTGGTCGGGCGGCGGCATCACGTTGCTGCGTCCCTGCTGTTGCTGCGGCGGCCGTTGCTGCTGCTGCGAGTGTTGAGGCGGGTAATGGGATGGGTGCTGCTGCTGTTGTTGGAATGCAGGCGGGTGCTGAGGCTGCGGCTGGTACTGCGATGGGTGTTGTTGCGATTGGTAGGCGGACGGGTGCTGCTGGTGCTGTGGCACGGGTTGCGGGGATTGAAGGTAGGGATTGAGGTGGTGCGGAAGGAGGAATTGGGACGCGGACGACGACAGCGGAGGCGTGGCGTTGTGCGAGACCAACGGTTGCAGCGGAACATGCAAATTGGGCACCTGGTCGCAAACACGCACACGCACACGCAGTATGTGAGTAATGCAAGCACGTAAGCGCAAGCCCATATTCTCCGGCCAATATGAAGCATCGTATGTTTGATGAGGGGTGGGTACGTGTGAAATGTATAAATATATACATATGTACGTGTATATATGTAAGGAAATAGGGCAGCATTCGATGAAAACGCAGAGGTGGCGGTGGCGGTGTGTGGATACGCATAGGGTGAGTAGGATGCGTGAGTTGATGGAGATGCATACAGAGCGTGTGGACCGATTGCATGAGAATCTGTGCATGTCACCACACGGCACACATCACGCGCGCGTACCGGAACATTCTGGTATTGCTGGGATTGCTGCTGTGGCCCCGAGGAGCCGTAGGGTCCCGGATACGGAGCGGGCGCCGTCTGGGTGTACACCCCATGGAGGGAGGAAAAGGGGTTAGGAGGCCCAAAGGGGGGAATGGATTCCTCGAATGGGAGGGGAGCGGGCACCTGATAGCCGCCGTACTGCGACGGGTAGCCCTGGGGGATCGGACCTGCTCCGCAATAGCTTGAGCACGATGTGGAGCACACGACACACGACACACGACACACGAAAACGCGTACCACTTGTGGGCGGGCCATAGGGACCGCCGCCGTAGGGGCCTGCGCCACCCGATGGCGCGTAGCCGTAGCTCGAGCCCCCGAGAGGGGCGCCGCCGCTGAACGGAGGCTGGTGTGGCGCGTACCCGCCGCCGGTGCTGCCGCTGGCGTCGGGGAAGTGGAGGGGCGCGAAGGGGTCGGCGCCGCCCGGGCCGGGATACGATGGCGGAGGTCCGCCGTAGGGCGAGTTCCAGCCTGAACAAACAAACAAAATAAATAAATAAATAATACAATTATTATCATGTATTGCAGTACATGGCACCAAGGAAGAGATGCAGAGCACAACCCCCCTCCTCAAGATTGTGCTTTTGGAATCGGCATCAAAGAGCGGGTGGTGGATGAAGTAGCGGAAGAATCGATGGGAAGCAAGAAAGTGTACTCATTGTGGTTCGGTTCTTTCTGGTAGCGGGGGAGCAAATGAGGATCAAGAGGAAGAGAGCTTGTTCGGGTGACCGGGCGATGAGCCTCGTGTGCTTGCACTCACGATTATTCGATCTTTGTCGCTTTTAGCGTCGACACAAGTATTTTTTAAATAAAAATATAAATAAACAAAGGCTCATTATCCTGAAAATCACACAATGGAGATCGAAGCAGCCGTGGCTGAGCAAATTGCGGAGTGGACCACCACCGATTCGGCTGCAGCCGCTCCTCCGGAGATCGGCGCTACGCGCAAGATTAAGGTGGGCGATAACGTCATTTTGTGCCTGAATGAAGACAAATTCATTTTTGCCCAGGTCCAACCCACCGGGTCCGTCAGCCCCTCCATTCGATCCTCTTTTCCCATGCCTCGATGATCGATTTCTCGATTTTGTTTAATTCCCTCTTTTTTAATTCTTTTATTTTTCCATTCTTGTGGGCAGGACGGTGAACGTGAACAAGAAGCGGTATCCGCTGAAGACGCTCATCGGCGCACCCTATCGCTCCATCTGGGAGGCGCCACGAAACGGCAGGGACTTCCTCCCGCTCAAGGAGAAGCCCCGCATTCAGGACATCAGCGACGTCAACCCCACAGGTGCTCCATTACTGCGCCTACGTGTGTGCCGTGTGCCGTGTGCCGTGTGCGGTGGTGCGTGTGGTGCGTGTGCGTATCTAACTGACCACGGATGCACACAGAGGACGCTGATATCACGACCGACAACAGAGATCTGGTGGACAACAACCTGAACCAGAAGTTGACGCAGCAGGAGATCGTGGCGATGCAGGACACGGGCGCCAGCGGCGAGACCATCATCAAGGCCCTCATCCAGAACTCGGCCTCGTACCAGAGCAAGACCGAATTCTCCAAAGCCAAATACCTCAAGAAGAAGGCCAAGAAGTACGTGTGCCAACCTGCCTTCTCTTTCCTCATCAGACCACCAAGCAGTCACTCATGTTTACATTTGTGTTGTTTGTTCCCCCCACTACCACCAGACACATCCTGGTGCTCGAAGTACTTGAACCGTCGCTGGACAACATCATCGCCGCATACTTTAACCGCAAGCCCTCCTCCGTCTGGTACGAATCACGTGTCGTGTGCCTGATGTGTGGGACGACATGATCAACAGCTCTAACCTTTCTTATTCGTTCGATGTGTGTGTGTGTGTTCTGCGCCGCTGCCCAGTCACATGCGAGTCGACAGCCTCGCGCGTCTGCTGACGTTCTCGGACGCCCGTCCGGGCTCGAACGTGCTGGTCATCGAATCCTGCAAGGGCATCGTCACCGGCGCCATCGCCGAACGTGTCGGAGGTGCGCGCATAACCCGTGTCTTCGCCACCGGCAGGCGGCAGCTAACAACACCGTTACCGGTGCGCGCACCAGGTCATGGCAAGGTGGTGTCACTGCACATCCAGGGTCGATCCAACGTGTCGGCCATCGATCTGTTCAACTTCTCCGATGAGGTGCAGAAGTCGATACTCCACGCTCCGCTCTCCTCCCTGCGTGAGATCTACCGCGCGCTCGGCAACAAGGCGGCGGCGGCGGTCGATAGTGCCGAGGCCGCGTACCCACGTGAACCCTTCTTCGCTCCGCTGGATCAGCTCAAGGAAGTCTTCGCCCAAGGCTTTGACAGGTATGTGCACCCAAACACGACACGACACGCGGGGAGGGGTTGTATTTGCGTATGGGCGATCAATTCATGGTTGAACTCAACGCCGCGTCACTGTATGCTTCAGCCTGGTGATTGCGGTGAAGGCCGTGCCTGCGCCGTTCCTCTTCGCGCTGCTGCCGTTCGTGAAGGCCTCGTCGCCCTTCGTCGTCTTCAGCCCCTTCATGCAGCAGTTGGTCGACTGCTACATGGACTTGCAGAGGGCCGATGAGGCCATCAACATGCAACTGTCCGAAACGTGGATGCGACAATATCAGGTGCGTGTGTCGTGTCGTGTGGCGTCGGCCGTGTCGCGTGCAAGTCAGCGAGCTGACCTGTGTTGAATGATCAGGTGCTGCCGTCGCGCACGAGACCGCCGATGAACATGAATGGCGCGTCGGGCTTCTTGCTCACCGGGACCAAGGTCTACAACGAGCCGCCGTCGACAGACGCGACTGACGCCCCCGTCGTGGAGGAACAGGTCGAGGAAAGCGATGACAACAGCAGCAGTCGAACCTCCGCCTCGCCGCAGAAGAAGAAAGCCCGCACCGAGGAGCCATCGTCCCATCGCCGCCATCGCCGCCAGTTTCGTGAGGCCGCCATCTCGAGTCACCTGAAGTGCACTCGCCGACGCCCGCCAACCAACGTGGAGTGTACGCAGAGTTTGCGCCGGCGTAGCGGCGATTGCCGAATGAAAGCGCAGAAAAGAAGGAAAAAGCGAAGGCGACATCTTTCTGCACAGCATTGCCAGTAGTGGAAGCAAATGGAAAGTGCCAAGTCTACCTACGATTTCGATCTGTTCGTCCTTGGTAAACCACCCTCCCAAACATGCAGCCGGAAACGTGGCTAGCAATGCATCGGGCTCTCGATGTTGCTTTGGCGATGTCCCCTTGTGATTAATAGTCTTGCGTGTGAAGGGGCGGGTTCTGGTGGCGTGAGGGCGTCGCGCATCTCAGCCAAGGCTGGCGCACGCGTGGCCATCGCCGAAGAGTCCCGCGTGGGTGGCACATGCGTCATTCGCGGCTGCATCCCCAAGAAGCTGCTTGTCTACGCCAGGTACTTGCCCTTCTCCGTACGGTGCCGTCTTCTTCAAAGATCAATCGTGTCTAATCTCAACGATCGCTTCAGCCATTTCTCAGGCGATTTTGAGGATTCGCGCAACTTTGGTTGGTCGGTTGATGTGAAGGGCTTCGATTGGAAGAAGCTCATCGACAACAAGGACAAGGAAATTGATCGTCTCAACGGCATCTACAAGAACCTGCTTGCCGGCTCTGGCGTCAAGCTCATTGAGGGTCGTGCCACCCTCGTCGATGCCCACACCGTCAAGGTACGCCGCTGCAACGTGTTGCCACCCTCACGATGAACGTGTTCTTTGTCACAACCGCTGCTAAGACACTCAACCACAGGTGGGCGATGCTACCTACACGGCGGAGAACATCCTCGTCGCCGTAGGCTCGTGGCCGTGGGTGCCCACCATCCCCGGCATTGAGCATGTACGTGTATCTGTGCTGCGAGCTGCCGCCTGTCTGTACTTGAGCACCACACACCACACGCGGGTGCTATTGTGCATCGTTTAATCCGTGTGCGCCAGGCTATCACTTCCAACGAGGCCCTGGAGCTGCAGGAGCTGCCCAAGCATGCCATCATCGTTGGTGCTGGCTACATCGGTACGACAATCGCGCTCGAGTCCCCCTTTCTCTCTTCCGAAATGCTCACCACGGTGAGTCCATGATCTAGCTTGCGAGTTTGCCACCATTTTCAGCGGCTGCGGAGCGAAGGTCACTCAGGTATCACCGCCTGAAGCTTTCGCTCAGCTCTCTCTTCAACATTACCTTGGTTCTCACCTTCGTGCCTGTGCTGAGCAGATTTTCAGGAAGCCGTACGTGTTGACCGGCTTCGACAACGACGTACAGCTCGCCGTCATGGACGAGGGTAAGAAACAGGGCATCAAGTACGTTATACTCTCTTCTGACCTGCGTTTCCCTCGTCGCTCACCTTCCACACGCATTCGCTTATGCGCGTATACAGCTTCATGCCGAGCACGCAAGTGACCGCCATTGAGAAGACCGATGCGGGCTACGTGTGCCAGCTGGACAACGGGCAGACCGTCACCGGCGATGTACACACCCTTCTCTCTCGTTCGCTAGCGCTCGAAATGACGGTCACGCTAGTCTCGCGATTACTCATCTCCGATTACGAATGGCTGGTGAACAGGTGGTGATGTACGCCACGGGCAGAGTCCCCAACTCGGCCAACCTTGGTCTGGAGAACGCGGGCGTGAAGATTGACCAGCAGGGCGCCATCGTTGTCGATGAATGGTCACGCACCTCCGTGCCCAGCATCTACGCCGTGGGTGACATCACCAACCGCATCAACCTTACTCCTGTACGCTTTCCCCTCAAGGATTCCCTCAGTGACGAGCGGCTCGCCACTTACCTTTCATGCTGTGGCAGGTCGCTTTGGCTGAGGGCCACGCTCTGGCCGACACTCTCTACAACAACCTGCCTCGCACGGCCGATCACACCAACGTGCCCTCTGGTAAGCTCCACTGTCCGCCTCTTTTTCATGGATTAGCTGTTGCTTGTGCTCACTGTCCAACAATCAATTGAATCGTTGACTGCCGCCAGCCGTGTTCACATCGCCGCCGGTGTCGTGCGTGGGCTACACCGAGACGCAGGCCCGACAGGTCTACGGTGAGATCGATGTCTACGTCTCCAAGTTTACGCCCCTCAGGCACACCCTGTCCAAGCGTGACGAGAAGACCTTCATGAAGCTCATCGTCGACAGGAAGACCGACCGAGTCGTTGGCGCTCACATGGTCGGTGCCGACGCCCCCGAGATCATCCAGGTACACACACTCGCACTTCCGCGTAAAGAACGAACTCCCGATTTGCTGACCACCAATTCCCTTCAACATCGACGACGCGCAGGGCGTGGCGATCGCTGTCAAGTGCGGCGCCACCAAGAAGCAGTTTGATTCCACCGTCGGCCTCCACCCGTCCGCGGCCGAGGAGTTCGTGACCATGCGAACCAAGAGGGAGTAGAGGTGCCCGGCGTCGGCCCCTCAGTGCAGTACAAGCTGGCATCGTGCGCCCGAAAGGCAGACGAACGATAGAGGTGCTCTCTTTTGTTGAACGTTTGCTCTTCTTCAGCCCATCAGTAGCTTTTCTTTTCGGTTTCAGTGGGGGGGGGGTTGCCGGCATTAGGCAAGTGGCTGCCGGTCAACACCACCGGCGGTGGAGGAGCTGAAGACTTCCACCGCCGCCACCACCAACACCACTAGACCTATGGCGTCCGCGGACGGGGGCGTCCAGCCGCAGGCCGCTGGCCGCTGGCCAAGAGCCGAACGAAGCGCAACCGGTATGTGAAGCCCTCCCCCCCTCCCCCTTTGAGAAGACGACCACAAGTCATTCATCATTTTATGATTCTTCGTCAGTTGATGAGCTTCGGTTGCGGTCATTTGACCTCTTGACATCGCAGCCTGTTCCTCGGCCGCCGCAGCTGCGTTCTGTTCTTGAGCGTCTGCTCGCGAGGGTCCTCTCTGCTCGTCGCTTGGCCGCAAGGTCGCCCACTGCCGTGTAACTCGCAGCGGCAAAAGGAGAGGAAAGGCAAGCGGGGGGGGGGGCGAAGACAACTCTTGGTGTAGTAGTGGCCGACCACTCGATGGCGAGCTCACCACCCCAAGCCGTGCTTCCAAGTTGAGAGAGGGAGTAGTCGTACAGGCACACGTCCTTGGGGGGGGGGAAGTAGGTGGGGCACGATCGACATCATTGACGGCGGCACAGTGGGGTTGTCTGAGAAGGCCGTTGTCGCAAGAGCATCGTCTTCTGAAGAAGTGAGGATGCCGTTGGGAGGTGTTGCCTCTTGAACGTCATGAGTCGTAAGGATCGATGTTCAAAGTCGTCAAGAGTGGTACGTCGTGAAGCTGCGATGTTGGTGGTGCCCATCAAGGCTCGATTGGCAAGGGGGGAGGAAGAAGTTGTCGAAGAGGTGTTTCGATTTGTCCGTCCTTTCCCAAGTGAGTGACCTCTAGATGCTCGAACATGTTCATCTCTTGGGCTCAGGCTTCCAACTTTTCCTTCTTCCTCCAGACCTACCTGAAGTATTCCAGTTATTTACTTTATTTGTGTGATTGTGATTGGTGCCCTTTTCCTTACTTCCCTTTTTGGGCTTTTGTGTTTTTGGGGTGACGTGGCCGGTCGCCGTGACCTTCGCGAAGACCAAGAAGGTGGAACGTTGGCCTTTTCTTTTGTCGTTTCAACCAACAAGCAAGCAAGCAACACACAGCTCACCAACATGATGAACAACACCATCAAGTTTGCTCTCTGGTTCTTGGCGATGATGACCCTCACTATCGGGTTCCTCTTCACCACCGCCGGCCCAACCTTCGCCGCGATCGACTCGACCGTTCGCATGGAGCAGTCGATCGTACCTCAGGCCAGCTTCGCTTCGACCAGCGACCACCACTTCTGGTCGTTGTTGGTGGCGAAGTCTGCCCGCTCCATGAAGGAGGTTCCTCCGTTCCGAGTCGGCCGCCATTACATCACGACGGAGAAGAGTCTGTGGACTCTTTCGCTCGAGCAACGACACCACTACACCATGTGTGTGGTGCTGTTCGACATGGTGATCATCGCGTTGATCACCACCGCTCTCACCAAGGCCACCAACGTACGCCTCCCCCCCATTTGCTCATTTGTGCTTTCGATTATTATCATTTATTTATTCCGCATTTGATTAATCGCAACAACAACACACATTAGAAACGCACGGAAGCCGCCCGACAGCAATGGGCGGCCCACTTGCTGGCCATTGTCGAGGCGGCAGTTGAGACGGCCAAGAGGGCCAAGGAGCTGGCCGAGGCCCCCAAGATTACCGCCGAGGAGACGCACCCGCTCGCCTCCCAAGATGAGATCCCCACCAAGGAGACGCGCCCGCTTGCCAGCCTGCTCAAGGAGGCCAAAGGCGAGATCGCCTGCCTCAGCACGGCGATGCACGTGAGCGAGGAATGCCAACAATCTGAAGTCATGCCGGTACGCTTCTGGCTCACATCGCAATTGTTTGCCGATTGCGTTTTGATTAATCTCAAAAAACTACACAACAATTAGGAGGAGGCGCACGATGACAACGACGAATTTCAACTCAACCCAATGCTGATGGGCCAGTTCATCGACGTGGCCCTCCTCCCTCCTGTGTACGTCCTTAATACTTCTCCCGATTTGTTGTATTGATTGGCGGCCTCTAATCTGGTTGTTCATCTTCATCATCATTCATGCAGCGACACCAACTGGTGCGAACGGGTCAAGAATCAACGTCAAGAAGAAGAAGCACAAGACCAAGAGATCGGCGATTCGTCAATTGACGATGCGGAGGAGTGGGTCGTACTTGAGGACCTCCGCGGCCGCCGCGCAGGCCCCGAGGAGGCCCCGCTCAACCCGATGACCATGGGCCAGTTTTTCGACGTGGCCGACCTCCCGCCGGTGTACGACCAACAGCTCCAGGCCGTTCTCAGCCGGCTGCCCGCCGCCCTCCTGTACGCGCTCTCTCTTTCTCTTTCTCTTTCTTCTTGCTCGCGAGTCGTCTGCTGCTGAACTCGTTCGCTAACCGTTTGGGGGGGTTTTATGTTGGAACGACAAACAGGAACGCGACTGACTTGAGCGAAGGTGGGATGTGGGCCACCCTCGCCTAACCGCCACCGCCAACCCTCGAGCGGACGGAGGAGTCAAGACCAAAAAAAAAAAAAAAAAAAAGAGAGGGGAACGACGAGCGACGGACGACCGGCACGACCGGCAAGAAGAACACAATCATCATCATCAACT